TCTACAATAGTGCCATAGGAGGACACTCAGGGGTATAAAAGAACTATCGCAGGCTTGCAGCAGAATTATATTGGGTTGGATTGCATAAAGATATAGAGGAGATGGTGATTAACTGCGATATTTGTCAAAGGCACAAATACATGATGATGGCTCCAAGAGGACTTCTAGATGGACAATATTTTCGTTCCACCTTGAGGACAGGTTGACTCTTTGGGAGGAGAGTATTGATACGCCAAGGGGGGCCACTTGGTCGGCCCAAACTAGCCCAACCAGGCTAGCCCAGCCTAAGCCGAACAATCCAAGGGACTGGGTGAAACTAGGGGCAACAAGAGGAGGGGGTTCGACTTTTCTTGTGGGGCCCAAGGGAGTTAATATTTGCTATGAAAGGAGGTGGAATCAAGGGGGAGCTGTTTAGGAAGGTTCCTAATCAAGAAATTATTTAGGAATGTTTATAATCTAGGGGGAGCTATTTAGGAATGTTCATAATCAAGATGGAGTTGTTTAGGAAGGTTCCTAAACAAGATGGAGTTGTTTAGGAAGGTTCCTAAACAAGGGGGAGCTGTCAGTAAGATTTCTAATCAAGAGAGCTGTTTTTGAAGGAGCTGTTTAGGAATGTTCCTAATCAATGGTGAGTTGTTTAGGAAGGTTATTAATTAAGGGGGAGTCATTTATGAAGGTTTTTTAATTGTGTTTATGATGTTTATGAAGGGTTTAATTATGTATATTGTGTGTTAGGGCTATTTAAGGGGGGAGTTTTTCCTAGGGTTTGGATCTTATGTTTTGCTGAAGTTTATTTTAGGATTTGTTGTAAATTTTCTAGTGTTGTCTAGGGTTTGTGGGAGAGTTGTTCTACCTCTCGAATAGTAGATCACTTGTATTTTTATTTACTGTTGAAGAGATAATCCAAAAATCAGTCCCAATATTTGTATTCATGCATTTTCTTCTTCTCTAGTTTGTTGTTTTTACTTCCAAGACGTATGAATCGACTCTCCACAGATCTTATGCGCCGCTAGGAACAACTCCAAAGAAAATTACTTCAAAACATAAAATCTTATCATGAAAATAAAATAACCTAATTAATCATAAATAAACCTTCCTAATTCCCTTCCAAATATGAATTCAAATCAGCCATTTTTTCCTAAATAAATATTCCTAATTCCCTCCAATATCTAAATTCAAATTAGTCATCTTTCTTTAAATAAACATTCCCGATTCCTTCCGAAATATGAATTCAAATCAGTCATATTTCTCTAAATAAACCTCCCTAATCCTCTCCCAATTTGGATTTTTCATGATAAGCAATTAAATGTAGATTTAATCCCCTTTGAGTCCCCTTTGTCCTTGCCCGTCACGCATACTAGTGGGGCCTACAGGGCTTTTTCGCCCGCTAGCTAGATTGACTCTCTTTGCTGGGGTCAGGTTGATTGGCTGGACCGACTCAATTGGTTCATCAATTCTTCCATCCCAAATAACTTCCTCGTCCTCAAGGTGGAACGAAGAAAACTACATTGAATCATCCGGGATGGTTCCCATGTTGCTTCATAGTCGGGTAGATCCTTCCACTTTATTAGCACATCTCTAGCTCCTCTATTTGTCGAGCGAACTCCTCTCACTTCCATTGGCTCCATAATCAACTCCATTTGTTCTTTCAAGGTCATCAATAGCGTCGCTGATGGACTGTGATCGCCAATAACTTTCCTTAGCTGGGACACATAAAATACTGGGTGTATGGTGGAAGTAGGGGGTCGTTGCAAACGATATGCCACGTCACCGCTCCTCTCAATAACCTCATAAGGCCCATAGTACTGTGGAGATAACTTTTTATTTCTTATTCGAGCTAGTCTTCTGTTGCAGGGTTGAATCTTCAAATACACTTTGTCACCCTGGATTGTCCTCACCATAGTTTTGGACACGCTACGATCCTATCTAATTACCGTTCTCCTCCACCTAACCTCGAACTCCATGGTCGGAGCCTTCCAATCAATCTTGGTCTTCCCTAACTTCTGCAGCCACTTTATTCCCAATATTGAATGTGCTCCCCAAATCCAATGACAGAAAATCTTCAAAGACTTGAATCTCTGTAAGGATTAGAATCACCTCTTTACAAATTCCTCTACTCATATCTACTTTTCGTGTTCCCAGCATAACCCCAAAGCCCCCTATGTCCACTAATTTCTGTCCCAATTGATCCACCATCCTATTGTAAATGAAGTTGTGGGTAGCTCCACTATCCATCAATATTATCACCTCCTGATGCCTAATTTTCCCCTTAACCTTAATGGTGTGGTTCGGTGTGAACCTGACTATTGAGTTAAGGGATTTCTCTGCAAAATTTAAGTGCAAGTGATCATCTTCTCTTCTACTTCGCTACAAAATCTTCCTCCTCATCGCAGACTATTTTGACATGTAACAAATGATCCTTACAACGGTGATTTGGAGCAAACTTCTCATTTCACTTAAAGCATAAACTCTTAGCCCTCTTGTCATGAATTTCTGGCCTAGCCAACCTCTTGAAATTCTCCCTTGGTCGTACTCCTTGACCTTTATTCCTCTGGGCTTCCTTTTGAATAGGAACCATTTGCATCTTTGGTGGCAAAAATGTAGTGGTCGTGCAGTATGAGACTCCTGAACTGTTGCTGCCACTACTCTCTAAGGAGCCACTGGTTGGGCTAAGTTTACTGCCTTCCCTAAGCCACGCGGTCTCAGTACTTGAACAACTTCTCGAATATCAGGCTTGAGCCCCTTCATAAAGTTCCCATCTAGCGCAGTCTCTAATAACGTTCCCAATCGGCTTGAGAAGTACTCGAACTTCTCTCAGCACTCTATCACCGTCTTCTCTTGCATCATATTAAATAACTATTTATAGAAGTCTCCTTCCCGATTGGCTCAAAATCATTCTAGTAGACAGTCTTCAAACTCCCTCCATGATCAGATTGAATCTCGAAAATATCTCCACTGGTACCAGGATAGAGCTTCCCCCCCACCTAATGCAGTCTCTAATAACATTCCCAATCGGCTTGAGAAGTACTCGAACTTCTCTCAGCACTCTCTCACCGTCCTCTCTTGCATCAGAGTAAATAACTATTTATAGAAGTATCCTTCCCATATGGCTCAAAAACATTCTAGTAGACAGTCTTCAAACTCTCTCCATGATCAGATTGGATCTCGAAAAGATCTCCACTAGTACCCTGGATAGAGCTCTCCCCCCCTCCCCTGACATAGAGTGGTTGTGGTGAGTTTTTCATCGTTTGTCAACCCATCACAACAAAACGTCCCTTCACCTGATAAATCCAACAGTGAGCATTTTTTTCACTAAAAAATCAACATCTTCAACTTTCTCACCCTAGGATCGCCACCGTCCCAATTGCTTCTTCGTTCTCTAGTGTAACAGGTTTTGTGATCCTTCCATATTTTTCTCTCCCCCAAATCAACTCTCTGATTTTTACCATCCCAATTTCTTCGCTGGTCATACCTTTCACCTGTTCCCTTCCTTGGAAGTGGCTCAAAAGGTGGCATATTTTCTTCTTCCCAAAAAATTTTTACCTCTTGATCCTCCCTCCTTGTCCCTATATTAGGGTATTCCCCGCTTCCTTGTCTGGTCAACAATCACCTGATGATGCCGTCTTTTGAAACTATAAATTCATTTTCATCATTTCTTCTAATTCTAAAATCTGTCCTCAATTGCTGAAATTCGCTCTTCGAATTCAGGTTTTAGATTTCCAATTTCCTCATCAAGCTCTCCTCCAACGCATCAACCTTCTTAGCCACCATAGGTCCCAAAAAAAGTGCTTTGATACCAATTTGATAGGAATCCGATCTCCACAAAACAAAAATAAAAGTAATGAAGAGAAAACACAATAGAAATCATCGAGAAAGAATGAGATTATGTTATAATTTTATTGATATCAACACAATAAACAATGATACAAGTTAATCTACTATTCGAGAGATAAATCAACTCTCCACAAACCCTAGGCACTGCTAGGAACAACTCCAAAGAAAATTATTGCAAAACACAAAATCCCATTATTAAAGTAAAGCAACCCAATTAATCCTAAATAAGCCTTCCCAATTCCCTCACAAATATGATTCAAATCAGCTATCTTTCCTTACATAAACCTTCTTAATTCCCTTCCAAATTTGAATTCAAATCAACCCATTTTCCCTAAATAAATGTTCTTAATTCTCTATCAAATCTAAATTCAAATAAACCATCTTTCCCTAAATAAAGGTCCCTAATTCCCTCATAATTTTGGTTTTCTATGGTAAGTAATTAAAGATAAAATTAATCCCCTTTGGCCCCCCTCTCTCCTTGCCTGTCACCCACACTAGTGGGGCCCACAAGGCTCTTCCGTTGGTGAGCTAAACCAGCCCCCCTTGTTGGGTCCGGGTTGATTGGCTGGATCGGCTCGGCTGATCCATCATAAGTATGTCCTTAAACGTATATTTTATCTAAAAGCAACCAATGATCTTTGTGATTTTTTTTTTAAAGTTTCCTTTTTCATTTCATGCTTATCTATAGATGGAGTTTCATTCGCTTGATTGATTTTGATGAAAATAACTTGTAAGAATAGGAAGATGATTAACACTTCACAATAACTACATGGCCAATATTATCTTTTACCCATTTGTTTATGTGACATGTTATTTATAAGAGCGCTATACTTGAGAAAATAGCGGGTCAATAATATATCCTTTTATGTTGTATCAAAGATGTTGAAAATTCATTGACTTGAATAAGTGGGTTGTTTGGTTGAGTGAAATGTGAGTGTAAAGTAAATAGTTTACATGGTTTGTATTTGGTTCGAAGTAAAATTACTTAATAGTTCATTACCTTCACAAATATAAGTGTAGCCAAATCGAATTTTTATTTTTTTTTTCTTTTGTTTACTTTAAATTGCATTTTAAATACATTTTTATATAAATATTAGTATTATGTTGTGCAAATAATAATTCAAAACACAAATTCTAACATCATTCATAAATTTTCTCAAATGCAGCAGCGCTCAAGGCCTCCCCTCATGAATAAACACAACAACAACATTCATGACTCTGACCATCCATCACCTATGGCAAAAAATACTACACCTTAATCCTCATATTTCATGGCTCGAAAACTACCCCACCCTTCGACTCTTTGTCGAAAATCTCACTCTCACCGTCCTCACCTGCTCCTCTTCCTCCTTCCTAGTGCCATCACCTCTCTCCTTCTCCTTCTCTTCCACCACCACTACCACCACCTCCCATCCCTCCTTCGCCCTCTTTGGGACTCCCCTCCCCTCCCCTTCACACGCATTCCCCACTTCTATGCTGAAAATACCTCACTCTCCCTTCTTTGCCGTCTCCACGGTTGGTCCCCACGCTCTTCTCCTCGCCGCATATTCGACGTCATCCTATTTAGCAATGAGCTTGACCTCCTAGAGATCCGTTATCGCTCCCTCCTTCCCTTTGTCCATCGATTCCTCCTCCTTGAATCCAACTCAACCTTCACAGGCCTCACCAAACCCCTCTTCTTCCTCCACAACACCCATCGCTTTGATTTTGCCAAAGACAAAATCCTCTATGCTCGATTTACCCCTTTCACAAACCCCCATTCCCCTCGCCCCCCTTTTAGAATGGAATCCATCCTGCGCTCCGCTGTTAATTCTCTCATCCGTCAATCAGGGGTCGTTGATGGTGACATTATTATTATGGCAGATGCTGATGAGATTCCGAGCCCTCATACCGTGCAACTTCTTCAGTGGTGCGATGGAATCCCTCCAGTGCTTCACTTAGAGCTGAGGCATTACATGTATTCATTCGAGTTTCCAGTGGATTTCAGCAGTTGGCGTGCAACGGCGAATTTGTATAGGCCTGGGATTTTATATAGGCATTCACGACGGAGTAATGTGATTTTGGCTGATGCAGGATGGCATTGCAGCTTCTGCTTTAGGAGAATTGAGGATTTTGTGTTTAAGATGGAGGCTTACAGCCATGCTGATAGGGTCCGGCATAGGAGCTTCTTGGATCATGAAAGGATACAAAGGATTATTTGTGAAGGAGGTGATCTGTTTGATATGTTACCAGAGGAGTACAGCTTCATGGAGCTAATTCGGAAGATGGGTCCAATACCTAGATCCGCATCGGCGGTTCATTTGCCGCCATATTTAATTGAAAATGCTAATAGGTTTGGTTTTCTTCTGCCTGGAGGTTGTCTCCGAACACCAGAGTGAGAGTTGCAGGTATGCTAATACTATCAAAACTCAAAAATAAATAAATATATTATATATATATATATATTGGGAAAGTTTGTTTAGAAGCCTAAGTTTCATGGTTAACTTTCCAAGATTATCACAGAAATTAAATAGCTTTTACAGTAAGTCGTGTTGGAAAGATTATTGAGAGTAGATTGAATTCATAGAAATTGGTTGATAGACAACATGGAGTTATAGCTTTTGGTCACTACAACCTTATCAACTTTATTGCATTGCAAGATTATAATCAATAGATTGAAATGTGCAATTGTTATCATTTTTGGGCAACATTGGATTGTGCTAGCATAACCCAATAAAAAAAAAGGAGAAATGCTAAAATACCCCATAAAAAGATATTTTTAAACTCAAGCTAGATTAGCTTTTGATCAAGTAGAATAATAAAACTACTACCAAAGCAAAACTTGATGTGAAACGTACCCGTTCAGGAGTTACTTTAAGGAAATTAAAGAGAGCAGATTTAACAAAATAATCCAAAATAAAATTATCACTTATAGCAAAAGATTGATCCTTGGAGTTCTCAGTTTTTAACTTGCTTAGGCAAAGAAGAGCGAAGTCGGTTAACCAAACAATTTAAGAAAATGCAAAGATCAATTGTAAAACTACGACGATAAACAAGAATCCGCGATTTAATAAAGAGAACTTTCACCTTTGGAGCCCATACGCTCAACTAGTCTAGGATTTAGCGGAAGAAAAGTCTCCACATTAGAACCAAGGTCACTCCGAGGAAGAAGGAGCCTAAGATCGTCGTTCTTGGATAGGGGGTCGGAGTGGTGGAGGATGGCGGTCGTCCAAGGATGATCCAACGTCCCTTTGATCTTTGCTCGTCGATCACATCCACTAAGGTGTAATGGATACGATCGATGTAATCTTCAATGGTGTCGTCGAAATCGAAGCCCACATCAAAGAACGGTGATTGGAGGATGTCAACTTGATCTCGATCGTCATGCACCAATTCAAAGTTCCATTCGGGTTCCGCCATGCATTCTTGTCGGGCGGGAAGATGCACAAAAGAATTGGGAAAATTTCCTTCAGGTTTCTTATTCAAAAACTGAGAGGAATGGCTTAGGAGCAAGGGAAATTGGAAGGAGCCTTCACGCCTTGAGTCCAGTCAGGTGTACCTCGATTTCCTCTTTAGAGGGGAGGGGGAGCAAGCTCTTCAGATTTTGCCTGAGAAGAAAAAGGAGGGAGACGGGTGGGAGATAGAGGGGGGAATCTGAAACATTTCAGATTTTTAATCAGCTATTTTTGTTTCCCAAAAGCTGATTAGAAAAATCGAAATGTTTGCCTTAGGAATTTATGACTTGGGGAAGAATTTAAGGCTCCAAATCAATTTCTGTAACATAATAGGAAAGAAGATATGAGAGGGAGAGCAAGCAAATGAATGACGTGGCCCTCTTGAGAAACTCACGGAATATTCAAACCTGAGATTTAATTCTCAGGTTTAATCTACAGGAAAACTTCCTAATTAGGTTGGGCCTCTAGCCGTTGGAAATTTCCATTAAATGAAAAGAAGAAACAGCAGGCCAAACTTCCTACTTGAACGGGAAGTGAAAAAAAAGGAAAGAATTTAAAGCATTGGCCTTGGATTTCAAATTCTGAAATAGGTTGGCGGGTGGCTGAAGTGGGGCGGCTGTGGGAGTAGGAGGAGGGTGGCTGAAGTGGGGCGGCTGTGGGAGTAGGAGGGAGGGACAGCGGGAAAGGGCTGCTGGGCTGGCCGGCGGGAGGTTGGCCAGCGGGTGGCCGGCTGCTGGCTGGGGGGGATGGAGGGGGGCGCTGGCCGGTGGCGGCTGAATTTCAGGCCGGCGGCTTTGGGCTGCTTGGAAGAGGCGGCGGCAAGAGCAAGGGGAGGGAGAAATGGAATTCTAGGGACTCGACGACTACGAATTTACTAACCTCAATTGTCTTCACCTTGAATTTCCACAAGATTAGATAATACGAAAACTAGAACTCACAAAGAGATTTAGTCTTCTCCGGCGAACTCACTAAGAGATCTTGGAGGGAGGAACTCACAAAGAGAACAAGTGGTAAATTTCATTTCATCAAAAACTAACCATTACATAAGAAAAAGGGCCATATAAATAGGCCTCAAAATGACAAAGAAAGCAAAAGACTAAAATGCCCCTTGGGCTACAATAACTACCAAATACCCATGAGGGCAAAAACAGAAAAACATAAAATAAAAATAAACTACTACATAAAATGATAAAAATACAGATCATGATTGTGGCCGTCGACCTCCGGCATCTCCTGAAGGTACATGTGTCAAAATAGCTGTTGATGTCCCCATCAAAACTATATAACTTTTCTTATTTTAATTGGTCTATTTAAAGAAGTGGATTAACTTTTTTTTAATATATTTTTTTAGGTAGTGTACTAATACACAAAAAAGAGTATTGAGGAGATCATGTTTGTAACATCTGGGACAGAAGTTTTTATTATGGTTGCAAGGTTTTAGATTGCATGTTGTCTGTTTTTGATAGGAAATATCTACAGAAATCAAAAGATTTTGGCTGAAATTTGGAATTCAGCAATATAAAAGCAGAAACTGAGAGAAATTTTGTGGCTAAACACTAGGAAAACTTGATAATTGATGAAAGAAGGAAGAAAATAAACAAGATACAATGGATATTTAATTCGAGAGGAAGATACGGCTCTCCAATCTCTAGCCGGTGCTTAAAGTCCAAGCAACTAAAGAGAAAATAAAATTCAGCCAACACATAACATAGCCCTAACCCTTACCCCCTTATTTAGAGAATATAAACATAATGATAATTACTAAATAACCCCTTCCAAAATTAATTCCCTCCTAAATTGCCCCCTCTTTTAAATTTGCATTCAAATTATGGGCCCCACAAGTGGGCCGATGGCTTGCTTGGTCTGCCTGGAATACTGCAGGGGCTGGCCCTAGTGCTGGGCAGGCTGGACCGGCCCTTCTTGGACTGGTTTAACAACTTCATTTTTGTTAAAATCCATTACAGGTGATTGTTGATATAGTCTATAGTGTTAATGTAATTATAATTTAGAAATATTTCGGCTATAATTATTAGATTTATTTGTGTTATATTGATGAACAAACTTTGCTCTGGCTTATTTGTGGTTCTTTGTTTTTATATTGATTGTGTATTGAAAAATCATCACATTTTTCCGAGAATTTGACAAAACTTTCATTTTTGATTTAAAGATCAATGTGGTGTGAATGTTGAAGTGAACTATGATATCATAAATTATAATATTAAATTATATTGTATAAATAATTTGTAATATTTCTTAGGAATCACCTCTTGATCTCTACATCAGGGGTTGAGGATAAATTTTGTTTGTTAGTTTTTCATGGACAAAATGCATATTATGGTTTCCATTGTAAAATGTGATATATATTCTGCAGGGAGAAGATTCTCATGCTCGCCTGCATCAACCTTAATTGTATATATATATTTTTTATCATGGTGTTCTATATCTGGTCTCATAAAGCTTACATCTAAAATAATGTCAAAGAAAAATGATAAATAATCACAAATGTAGGGCGGGACTCATAATTGGTGACAGTCAAACCGTCTATTTGAATTACAGATCGAATGATGTGATTTTGTGTAATTATTTAAGAAATTTCATATAACTAAGAAATGAGGACAGTTTAAGGGTGATAGATAAAATGATTTCAACAAAAAATTGTCAACAATTGGCATTTAATTGTATATGTTTATACAAGGCAACCATTAATTCATTGCACTTGAAATTAGAGTGGAAATTTTGTCTTCTTAATTGGCTATTTAACTAATATAATCCAATAGGATAATTATTCAAATGTTATATTTTAAATACTGTCTGTTAGGATAATTAAATTGAATTTGATATTAATCTCTTGGATATTTGATATTCATACTTTATACTGAAGCTTCATTTTTTTTCTCACTTCAGCCAAAACCCGTCAATTTTCTCTTCTATGTTTTTTTCTCCTAAAAACCTACCTCCATATATAGATGTTATATGTTTTTTTCTCACTTCAGCGAAGGCTGAGGCGGGGGTTCGCAGCAAAAGAAATAAAGTAATTTATTATATTTAATTATGTGTTCATATGATGTTAACATTGCCATTGTTATTGTAAAATACAGAATGGCATATGCAGGTGCAGAAACAACCCTCCCAGAGAAGATCAACAGAACATAGTTGATGATGGAGTGCATATTGATATACACAAAGGCTAAGAAGAAGACAAAGAAAATGAAAATTATAAAGATTTTTTTGAAGAACAACATCAAAATGACAAAAAATATTCACAAGTGCATCCAGTATGGACTTTGGGATCATCACCATAGGAGCAGTTGCTAAAATTCTCTCAGTGTATGGTACTGCTTGATTTGTTTAACATGGATTTAGAGCCAAATTGCCCAAAAGCGAGGGAATGGAAATAAATCAAAAAGAGGATTGAGGTCTGTTAAGTGGATGTATTTTGTAAACTATCTTTTCCACATTGATAAAGAGAAAGCTGAACTTTTTGAATACTTACAGTGCCCGAATCAATGATTTGTCTTTATTAAATAAGAAGATGTTCTTGTTAGTTTTCATAACGTTCATTTTGCAGTTTTGTATGATGGATGATCGTTCATGGACTTACTTATCATTCCTTTTTGCAAATGATAAATGATTTTCTTGTACCATAATAATCAAAGTGTTGGCTTCAGATCCTCTTTGAAAACATGCTATACTAGGGGTGTCAATTTTGGGTCAAAGGGTCAATCTGAATCTGACCCGATTTTTGAAACTGGTCAAATTATTGAATCCGAACCCAATCTGTTTCGGGTCCGGGTTGATCCTAACCCGAAATTTTCAGGTCAGGTTCAAGTCGGGTTTTCATGTCGTGACAAATATTAGCACCCCTATGCTATGAATTTTTTACGCCACATTCTATAGATATACTTGTTACATCAATTGGTCATTCTGCATTTACATGACTAATATGAAACTCCTGTCTTTATTTCCTAACTCTGCTATTCCATCTATGTATTGATTAACAGTTTGTTCTAAGTTTTTCCAAACTAATCTTGTAATTCTCCATTTTAGAGAATGGACAGAGAGTGGCTGTACCCATTAGGGAAAAGTATCCTGATAGGATTTCTATAGAGGACTTCTTTGTTTATGCCCGGAAGCGACATTCCAGCTGCTCTGATTACAGCTCTCATATACAAACTTGACAGCAACTCTCGTTACAGTCAGAAGTGAATAGCCTTGCAACAATTATTATATAAACTTCAATCATAACATATTAACTATCATAAAAACATTACATCATCATATAAAATGGTGTTTCTTTGTTACAAGAACTTTATAGTGCTGTAATGCTTTATGGTGTAGAATGTTGGCCTTAAAACAGAAGCATAATATTAATTTAAGTGTTAATAATAATAATAATAAGTTAAGTGTTGCAGAAATGAGAATGCTCAGGTGAATGAGTTGTTTTACTCTTAGAGACAGGATATGAAACAAGCATATATACATGAAAAGGTTGGAGTAGCTCTAGTGGAAGATAAGATTAGAGAGACTAGATATATTAGATTTGGTTTATGTTAAGAAAAATAGAGACATATCTATAAAGACTTAGAAAATATTAGAAATGACATTTCTATGTCGATTTAAATAAGAATTTGACTTTGAATGAGAGACAATGAAGAAAAAGATAACGTAGTCAATCTCATATAGTTTAGAGAAAAAAATTATAAATTTATATTTTTATATAATTTTTATATTTAAATCAAATTAAAATATACACATAAAAGTATATATTTTATTTTAAATAAGTTAATTTTAATGATATTTTAATATAATTTAGAGATTTTAATTAGGTGTGTCAATTCGGGTCAACAGGTCGGGTTCGGGTCGAACCCTGAATTGACCCGGCACTATTCGGGTCAATCCGAACCCAAACCGTTTTTAAAATCGGGTCAGGTTTCCGGACCAGAACTCGACCCGATTCGGGTCCAGGTCAACCCGACCCGACACGAATGACCCGATGTTGACCTAAAATTGGTAAATTTGGGTCAAAAATTGGGTCAATCTTCGATTTTCGGGTCAAAATTAGTCAAAAACGGGTCAATCTCGGGTTTCCGAGTCAAATAGGAGTTTTCATGTCAATTTCGGGTTGCTGGGTCAACCCGAACCCGACCCGATTTT